TCGAATGTTTCACGTTTTGTTCTGAGCTGAAGCTTCACGCTGAGCTGATGTTTCTCACTAAGACTGCATGAAACCATCTCGGTTTGCACTAATTACAATCTACAAAAAGTAATAATTTAAAAAAAATACAAATGAGAGTTATTTTTAAAGTCTAAAATCATTTAAGCAAAGAGAACTTACCCGTCTCTACAGTGAGTTTGGTTCCGTCGCCAAAGTAAAGTTTGTCTGTCCTCTGATTCGTCACACTGTGACTCCCACTGTGACGAATACTCACGGACTAGTGTGGATGTCAAATATTCAGATTTTCTGTTTTTTTCCTCCTGTCACCTTCACAGTTTGCATTGTTTGGTTTTCTTGCACTAACTGGACGTTTCTCTGATGTGAAACATTTAGATAATTACACAAAACTGATTTTTCCTCCATAAAGATGTGTGTGTGTCATTCACTTTTTTCTGTGTCATTCACGTTTTTCTGTGTCGCTCCCTTTTGTTTGTACGAGACTTTGTTTATCCTGTTTTTTGTTTTTACATAGAAACATTTTTCTAACTGTTTGTTCAAATTAAAATCATGTAAATAAAACTTACCTGAGACGATGAGGAAGAGTCTCTGTGCTCGTCTTCAGACAAACCTTAATCCTTCAGACTAACTGAACGCTGTCTGTGTTACTCTGGATGAAGCATCTGTGTTTGCACACCTGTGTCCCCTGATCCAGTTATTCCCACGAGCGCCACCTCTGTCAGAGGGGTGTGGCCTAAAACCTAGATTACAAAAGTTCACATTTACTTGTTTTTTAAAGCTTTTAAGAGCTCACAACAGGTCAGAGTGTGGTGCAGAAATACTCAGCGTTACATGAAAGGATGATAAACGATCTCCAGCTCACGTGGCCATCAGTGAAGTTTAGCTGTGTTACAGTTTAAAAGCTGAACTGAAGCTCAGCTGATCGTTGGTGCTGTTGTCAAACATCAAACTCTGAAGAAAAACGTGACTCAATCCTGCAAACCTACGTGTTCACATCAGACGTAAACATGTTTACAGCCTCGATCTTCATAACAGTACACGGGCTGATTTTAAGCTTAATGTTTGCATTGTTGGGGGCGTGGCCTCTTTGACTGACAGGTGGATGGTGACACAGGTGGCTGCTGTCTGCTCGGCTTCACCTCAGTTAATTAGAGTCCCTGAACTGGACCTCTGGACCCTGTTTGTGCTGTTGGAGCCTTTTTAATGACCAATAATCCAGCTCGCTGAGCGGCTGCTGGCACTAACAGAGCTTTTATTTAGATGTTGTACAAACTAGCGTTAGCTTTTAGCTATACCTGATTAATATTTGGTGATAATCCACTCTGTAGTCCTGGTAACCTGATAACAGGCTGCCCAGCGGGTAAACTATGATGTCACTTCATGTTGAGTTTGTCTGGATGACATGTGGAGGTGCCTGCAGTCGGACGGATGCACAGCAGAGTGATGAAGGCTCATGTTACCATATTTTTAATAATGTCTGTGAACTGAAACACACGATGGAAATGATTCAGTCAAAAATGAGTCATTTGTGTAAAAGTAAAAGAAAAATGAGCTGAAAGTTTAAAACAAGCTGACAAACATTCACAGTTTGAAGATTATTATCATTCAGGCTAAAATAGTTTCGACTAAACTCATCAGAGCTGTGTGTGTGTGTGTGTGTGTGTGTGTGTGTGTGTGTGTGTTATACATGAAACTCACAGTGTGTTTGCAGGAAGCCTGACTTCTCCGTCTCTCACACAGACTCATCCAGGACTACATTTATAGTTTGTGTGAGGCGCAGAAGCAGAGAGCAGAGCTGATGTTTCTCAGACAAACTTCAGCTGTGGCCTAAAAACAGTGTGAATAAAAGATCCAGCTATTAGTGAGTATTTTGGGCTCTGACCCAGTTTGCAGAATAATTTGAGCTCAAGTTTCCATGTTTGCTAACTACAGTTACAGCTGCCAACCTCACATTAGGCCTGTGGCTCAGCCAACATCATCAGGCCACAATGTGTTTCAGACACGCTGTAAACGCGGGCAGGTGTGCAGGGCCCAGCATGATGTTCTCCCTGTCCCGTCCTCTGGGGGGCAGAGTCGCTCTGTGGCGCTTGTGCTGCTGTCACTTCTGCTTTTAACTCTGACAGGTTTTTCTGCGTTTTCAGGGTGAAGCTGATAAAATGCTGCACATGGTGACGAGAGTCAGATCAGAGGTGTGGACGAGAACCTGTCAGCTGTCACAGATCACATGACCGCCTTCCACCAAAGCAGGTCGCTCCAGTGTTTGGTTGATGCTTTATTTGCATGTAAACAGATCAATAGCAAATGTCCACAAAGCAGCACGATAACGAGGTTTAAGATTTACATGGAAATCAAAGATTCCTGCATCGAACAGTTGATCATTTATGCATCTGCGAGCTTTTACAGAGCTGAACTTACAACCATCAAATCAGGACATTTGTCTCATGAAAGTGTTTAAACATGTTTTTCTGTTTGTGTTTGTATCTGATTTTATTGTGTGATAAAAGTTAATAAACAATAAAACAAGAGAATTGCATGTTTTCCCTTCAATGATCAGTGTGACGCTGTCACCTGTAACTGCTGTGAAAGTGTTGCACAAAGCGTGCGAGGAAACAAGCTGCTCGCAGCTTCCTGTCGACGTGAAACTGAGCAGCTTGTTGGTTTCTGTCTGATTTTATCTGCAGCTTCACGTCTGACTGTTGAACTGTGGTTTCAACTGAAAGCAGGAAGAAGCACGACGAGGCAAACGGGGTCAACTGATGACGACGTCACAGGTCCAACAAGACAGAGACTTCACCTGTGAGCAAATTAAACTGTAACTGATCAAAGTCCTTTATTTAACCCTGTGGCAGCTCACGTGCTCTGTGAGGGTGACTGTAACGATGCTGCACGCTGCCCAACGTTAAATCAGAAAATACAAGAGAAGATTCAAACACAAGCAAGTTTATTTTGTATTAGAAGCAAACAACATTTCAGTGAGAGCGGTCGAACTGACCGGAGAATAAAACGTACAGACAGAAGTCAGATACAAACGATGTTGTTATAAACGACAGGAAGTAAAACTAAATGCTGAGAAGCTGAGGGTGTTACTGACAGGTTGTATTTACAGCAGGACGAAGCAGAGTGAAGCTCGTTCACGTTCACACATCAGCAGATTTAACACACGACATTGTTCTTGTTGAGACCATCAGGACCTTTCATTCATTAATTATTCTTTGTTCTTTCAAACGAATGTTTAAATTAAAGTTTAGCTCCAGTTGGCGACGTCAGCGAGCTCGGCAGCCACGCTGCATGCTGACGTTAAGTCTTTGCTGTGTTTTGCATAAATAATTTGAAACATTTAACAGATTTGATGTTTTTTGCATGTATTTACAACAAAATGATAAAAATGTGTTTCCATGTTTTTCCATTTGGGTCAAAATTTCTGTTTACTTTTAGATGTTGTTGGAATTTGAAACGTTGCTCTTATATGAAGGCAAATGATCCTAAAATCAGACCCACAAATGTTTGTGCTCTAAGTGTGACTTTACAGAAGACTGAGCGTTTGTGCTTTTATCAGAAACAGGAGAAAGAAGCTGAAGCTCTGATCTCACGTCGACTCAGAGCAGCAGACCTCTGATGGTCAGGATGGTGTTGAAGGCCAACGTCTTGGTGAACAGCACTCTGACTCCATTCATCACCAGCAGGTAGAAGTTGAGCTTTGCTTTTTCTACACAGACGGGAGACAGACGTTAGCTCGCACTGAATCTGTGACACGAACACGACTTCAACAGGAAGGTGAAAAAGATGAAAAAGGTTTCCTGTGTCGATCGTCACAGAGATACAGAGACAGAAGAAATTCATTTTCACGACTGCAGTTTAATTAATAAACACAACTCTTTATATTTATGTTCCTGCGTGTTTCTCCTTGTTTGTTAACGTGAACACATCAGTGTGTTGTTCTCTGCACGGATGCATCAAACAAGCTGACGTCTGTCCACACACGAGGCCGAGGTGTGGCTGAACTGATGTTTTATCATATTTACACTTTACTTCTTTTTTACTTTTCTTTTCTTTTCTTTTGTTTTTTTGTTGTTGTTTGTTTTTTTGGAAATGAAATCAGATGTTTTTCTGCTGCTCTCTGATATCAACTGCATGTTTTGTGTGACTGACATTATATATTATATAATATTTGAGGTTACACAATAATCTTCCCGACAGCAGTGATGTTGTTAGTGATGACGATCTCGTTCATGTGACTGTGAAGAAGCTGAGCGTGTGCAGGTGTGTTTGCTCACCTGGGTAGATGCTGCTGCAGGCGTCATCTGTGTGGAAATATGAAGTCCGTTAATCACACAAACACGCTCGATGAACTGTTTTTATATCTCAACCCAAAATAATATAAGACGGGTTTAAATTTGGAAATGTCAAACAAAGTCTCAGCCGTCATTTTATTGATCTTTTTTTTATTAATGACCATATTTAGATGTTTGTGTTAAAAATAAAAGATTAAACGTGTCAGACACAAACACAGCTGAGCTTTAAAGTTTATGAGTCTCACACTGAGTTTGTTTTCATACCAGCTTCGTTGTTGGAGGAGGCTCCTAACAGCTCACAGGAGTGGATGGTCTCGTTGCTGAATCCAACAAAGTAGTAGGTTTTAGTCTTTGTGGACAGAACGGCGTTGCTGGTGTTCACGGTGACTGGGCCCCCCCTCACATTCAGAATCATTTCTTCATCCTTTGGATAAAAATCCGTGGCCAGACAGACCTCTGGGCCCAGAGCATCAGCGGGCAGCGGTGGATAAGTAGGAGGTGTCAGAGGGGTCAGAACGTGAAGCGTCGGGGTCGTTTTAGGTTGATCTACACAGCAAAACAGGACGAAGCAAAACCACACAGACAAAGTTATGAAGTAGAAAATAACCAAGTTTCAGTTTCCACAAAACAAACGTTAATGTTTCAGCTTTAAAACATTTATCTGACATTTCTAAATGAAATCTTATGAAACACTATGACTCCAAACATGATGACTCAGGTGACCCTGAATCCTTGATTCTACATTTAGAAGTACTGCGATCGATATTTCAGTTCTGTTACTTTAGTGATTGTTGTGGGTTTGTGTTGCAGTTTGCAGCTAAGAACAGTTTGCTCGTGGTGTCTAAATGTTAGTAAAGACTGTGCGATGGAGAAGACACACAAAAGTCTTTCCACAAATTCATGTTGTATAAAATTTGTACATTAAACTTCAAGGATAACAAAATAGTTTTAGTTGTTCTTTGTACGTACAGCAGGCTGCAAATCAGCAGTTCAGTCGCTCTGCAGGTGACATTAATTATTATTATTATTATTAATTATTGAGCAACAAGTTTTATAAGCAGACTGTTTGACACAAACTAACAGTTAAGCTGAGAGAAGCCGACCGTGACGCTGCTCGCTCCGCTCCGAACACTTTAATCATTTTATTTTAGGATTTAAGAGTTTGACAAAAACACCGTGACATTCAGCCATCATGTAGCATGTTTGTATTTCACATAACTAACGAGGAGTTCTTTGACCTGAGAGTCAAATTTCAGTCCGACAAAAATAAAATAAACTGATTTTGGTCCAAACTGAGCCAATAAATGAAAATCAGAGGTTGAATGTTTGAGTAAATATTAAACTTCTTTATTTCTGTTGTATAAACTTTATTATCTTTGTTTAATGCAGCGTCCACACTATATATCATCACGTTCGACCAAACTGTTCAGTTCTGCTTTTTTATGCTTTACACATAATTTATGACACAATCACATCTGAGTGTTTCCTTGAAAGCTCGGATATAAACACAGGTTTTATCTGTGCCGAACCTTCAGTGCTTTCATTTGATGTTTTTGACGACAGTTTCCAGAAAATCTGAACTTTTCTCAGCTTTTACCTTTATTTTCAGTTCAGACAGTAACACTCAGACAGTCACTGTGAGCTCGTGTTGAAGAGTCGAGTGTTCAAAACCTGAACTTCTGTCCTGTGTAGTATTTATTTATTTATTTATCCAGGATTTTCTTTTTTCTGTGCCAATTTGCAAAAGCAGCTTCATGAACATGATGATTTTCTTTTATTTACGTCACTAAAATTGTACATTTATAACTCTTCTGCCTTTTTTGTGCTCTACAGTCCTTATCAGTCCTCTGTTACATTTTGTTTTGTTGTTTGTTTGAACAGACTTGACTCTTTGGCTCTAACATTAAATATATCTTTACTATTTGTACTCATTAATATTTTCAGCAGACTCATCAAAACAAAGACGTGTCAGAGAATTCACTTTGTTTGATTTTATATTTTCAAAACTCGATTTTAAAAACAGAATTTCACATTTTTAACTCTGACAGTTCGTTGGTGTGTTTCTGTAGCTCATGTTCAGGTTTCCCTCTGAGCTTTTGTTCTTTTTTACTGCCGATTATTCTCCTTTGTTTTACTTTTTGCTTTGCTCTGTCATTATTTGCAGAGTTACGAAACACCAGCTACATGTTGCAGCTGACTTGACTCTATTCTGGACACTTTCACACTTTGAATGAACAGAAAACAGGATTTAAGGCATTTTCAGGACGTCCTGTGTCTGACAGCAGCTCGTCGTCACATCGCTCCACTGATCATCAAGTTCAAGCTTTAAAACATAAAAACTCCGTTTTGGACTAAACAGACCTTTAAAAGGAAATTATTTCTCACTGTATCAGCCAAGAAAAAGGGATTTTTCTTACCTTTCGGGCGGACGGTGAGCTTGATCGGATTTCCAAATGTTAGTGCATCACAGTGCTACAGCCCCGTACAAAAACCTCTCGGCTGTCA